CTTGTTCACAGGCTACCAAGAGGAAGGGCAGGCGGACTCCTACAACACTATTATTACCCACCCCATTTTACAAGTACAGAGGTTGAGCGCCTTGCCCAAGGGGCAACTCACATTGCCTCTCCTGCCCAGGGGGTTGCCACTTTGTGCCAGGCAAGCTGCTAGGTACTCCGGGGGGGGAGGAGGGGATTGGAGTGGCAGAGCATCTAGTTCTGACTGGATGGCGAGGAAGGCAGACCTACACAGCCTCAATCCACAGACCACAGCCAGTGAGTGAGGGCTGGGGATCTGCAGAGGCGGAGGGTTGAACTCTGCCTGCCTGGGAGGAGTCCTGCAAGCTTCTAGGAGGAGGCGTCTTGGGGCCCAGCTAGATTCCTTACTGCTCCCCATGACCACCACAGCAGAAGCGAGGGCACGCCTTGCCCTGCAAAGCGCTGGTGTCCAGTGGGTACTCGCCACCACCCTGGAGGCCAAGCAGGGAGGAGCCACAGCTGCCCCGCCGGCTGCCCTGCCAGTGACCCCACCGTGGTCAGGGAGCCTGCCTCCAACACTGCCAACCTGGCCTGGCCCAGCCGGCTCCCAGTGCACAGGGTCCTCTCTGCCCGGCTAATGACCACACTGCCAGCAGCACAGGGCACCGCCCTTCTTCGGGAAAGGCAGCAGCTAACTACAGAGCCTGCCGTCCCAGACAGCGGCCAGGCCAAGAATCACAGCCACCCAGCACACCACATCCTCCGGCCCTGGTGCTGTGGTCTCCTCCTCTACCTCCCAGGGTCACAGAGGACACTGCAGGAGTTGGAGCTCTGGGAGCTCGGACACCACCCCACTCACGTGTGGGAAAATAGAACCATGAATGGGGGCCGATTGCCCCCTGGCCACACAACCGGCCGGCGCAGAGCCCAGGGCCCTGAATGCCTGTTCAAGCATTCCTTCCTGGGCCCCCTGAGAAACCCAGTACTGCCCTTCCTTAGCTCTAAAGAGAAGGCTCATTTCCCAGCTTTTTATATGAGAAGTATGCTCTCAAGGTACTTGGGCCCAGTTGAAGAGACAGGATATCTTCTAAAAGGTGTCAAGCTGTCTATTTAGTCCCAGATGGGAGTACAGCCTTGCCTCCTCACTCCCCACTGTCTAGCTGTCTGACCTTGAGCAAGACAATACACCTCTCCGAGCCCCAGTTACCTCCCAGGGTAGTGAATTAGTGTCTGTAAAAAGCGCTTAGCAGTGTCTGGCTCATAATGAGTACTCAAAGCTTTAGCTATTGTTAATATCATAATAGTGTTATTAAGGACTATGCAAATGCATTCTACAAACTATAAAACATGAAGCAATGACAGGTATTATTTATTACTATTACTGTGAAGTGTTAAAGACTCAGAGAGGGTGTGACCAGAAGTTTGGGGAACCCAGGAATGTTTCCTGGGTACTTTATGGCCAGAGTTGGGCCTCAGCAGATGGGGAGCTGAGCAGAGAAGAGGCGGGGCTGGCAGGTCTGACGGGAGGAAACCTACAAGCACATTAGCTGGCAGAGTTGGCAGTGAAGGGGCCACAGGTGGTGTGTTTGGGAGACAGTGATGGGCAGTGAGCCAGGGCTCCGTGCAGTGGCTACAGTGGGCAAGGCCTTGAACACACAACAGAGGGGCCTGGTCTCCATCTTACAGGCAAAAAGGAGCCTCGGAGGGTTCCAAGTGCCCGTCCATGATGCTTTCTGAGACGTGAATTCTATCTGACACTCAAGGCCCTCTACCATCTGGCCACCCGCCCCTCTTCTCTGTACCCCTCGTGATCCCACAAACCGCAGAATCACTACCCCAGAGTTCTACCCACTTCTCTGCTTACTATGCTATCCCATCTCCCCTGCCGTTAGCCCATCCCATGCTTCATATTCACAACGAAGCACTCGCTACGTACCTATGGTGTCAAGTGCTTTACTTATATGGCCTCACAATTACCCATAACTACTCTAACTTTACAGAGGAGCAAATGGAGGCCTGGCAGGGTCAGGTGTCTTGCTCATGGCCTCACAGAGAGCAAGTAGCACAGTGAAGATTCAACCTTGAACTGACGTCAGGACCCCTACTCTCTATAGAAAGATGCGTTTAGCCCCAACCCAGCCACCTTCCTCTTTAATGAAGACTTCCAGGATTCCAGTCCTTGAGGGCCTCTCCCTGGCACCTCTCATCACCCATTTGGAATCAGATGCCCACAGCTTGACCCCAGCTCAGCCAGCTTGGTTTCCATGGGAGAGAGCCATGGTGGGTATGAGGTCTCTTTCTTCCTGTCCTGCCTCCCCCGCCCCCCTCCCCCCCCATATCCAGGACTTCTTACAGCACTAACAGGAACAACCCACCTCCTCCGGGAGAGGCAGGGAGTTCAGGAGAAGCTCAGCTGGGCACAGAGCAATTTCTCTGAGCCCGCCGCCCAGCCCAAGGGGGTCATAAATTATTCACTGCACCTCTGTGCCTAAGGGAGGCCAGACAAAGAGCCAGAGGGAATGAATATCAGCTCCCCCCGCAACCCTGGCCCTGGGGTGGGGAGTGGAGGTCAGAATCCAAAGCCCCTTACCAAGGTCCCCAAGCAGATTCCAGAGGGCTATGAGCCGAGGAAGGTAGCACAGGAGAGCCTGACCCGTGCAGGAGTCCCCGTGGGACAAACCTAGGTCAGTGCGCCTGCAGCAGTAGCCTGCATTCTAACCTAAGGCAAGTCTGAGAATTTCCCTAGATTTGCTGGTCAAAATCCAAGCTTCCTTTTTTTATAGGTAAGGAAACAGATATTTTGCCAAGCGCTATATATTTATATCTCACTTAATCCTCACAACAACCACATAAAGGTGGAATTCTAATTTATAAAGCAGAAGCTGGGGCTCTGCGGAGGGAACTGATGTGTGAGATGCCACAGGGCCAGTGGGAGGCAGCACAAATCCACACCCACCTGGTCTGTCTCACCACACTCTGCCGCTGCCACTTAGCCCACCTGGTTGGTTGTGAGCTAGTCATCACGCTGCCTTTTCCATCTGGGTAACTTCCGGAGCGCCTTGTGTGCAGCCAGCGCTGAGACTGTTCCTGAAGCAAATTCAAAGGCCCCGGGCAAGTGGTTTTACCTCCCTGAGCCTCAGTTTCCCACACAAGGTCACCATTAATAAATCCAGTCATGGGAAATACTCCAAAACCAAACCAAAACAAACAAACAAACAAACAAGAAAAACCTCTTTAGCACTCAGCAGTCTGACAGATATGATGGCCCCCATTATCCGAATGGGTAACACAGCCTGCCTTGATCCCATTTCACAGGTGAAGCTGGGAGCCATGGATGCATCTGAGAGGTCTCAGGTGGCTCCCAACCCTGTTCTACCTCAGTCCAGGTTCCTTCCATCACACCATAAAATGAGATCACAGGTGTGAAATTATCTCATCCAAAAGCTTTGTTTAGAGGTAGGGACTATTATGAGAATTTGGATCTCCCTGAATTGGGAGGAATCCCAAGCCCCTCAGTTACCCTCTCTTGCAGTTCCCCCGACCCGTCCATCCCCAGGGACTCAGGTTCCAGCTTTCAGCTGGCCCCTCCACCTTCCTCCACCTCCCAGGGGCTTTCCAAGGTGGTTTCCCCTAGACTCCAGGAAGCCGGGCACAGCAGGGGTTAAAGAGTCCCAGCCAATGCTACAGGGCTAAGACCAAGGCCATGTCCCCTCCCCCACCGCACCCAGAACAAGAGCCCACAGAATCCACGCCAAGCCCTCTTTCACAACACCCCTCTCCCTGCACTGCCCTGGGGGTGGGGAGGGGTGGGTAGTGGAAGGAACCCCTTCCTGAAAATCCAGACACCTGGGACTGTGCCCTCAGCCCTGGCAGCCCTACCATGAAGACCTTGAGCAAGCCCTCCCATCCTGGGTCAGAGGTGGCCTGCAAGTTCCACTGCCCAGGAGAGGCTAAGGTCAGATCTTTGGTCTGAGCCAATGGTTGCGAGTCTACCAGCATGTCTTGGGCCCCAGCACTGACCACAGACTCTCACAACAGACTCATATGTGGTCACCCTGACCCCACATCAGGGGTGAGGAAAACCCCAGCCACCCACCCAGAGAGTGCTAACTTTCTGGGGGGTGGGGGGAGTGGATACCTTGAAGAATGTTTGGGAAGGTTTTTCTCAAGTGTATTTGTGGCTCAACCACTTACTCACTGCTTTAGGACCTGGGACAATTGGCACTCCCCATCCTAGCCCCCCTGCCCCTCCCCCAGATACCCTGTCACTAATGTGAAGGAGGTGAGCTGGATGAGCGCCGAGGGGCCTCATCTTCCCCAGCTATGATAGGTTCTGACTCAGGGACCCTACAGTGAGTTTCCCCAAAGGTGAGTGCTGTCTCAGGACCTCCAGAGTCCCTTAGAGACCCTGGAGTCTGCAGCAGGGCGGAGGGGCAGATGCTCTCTAGTCCTGGGCCCGCCAGGAGGGGAGCTGTGGAAGTGGGAAGTTTCCTGCCTCAACTCTGGGTCACCTTTCCTGGGAGGTAACATGGCCATGGAGTGGGAGGGAAGGAGGCCAGCTGAAGCTACTTCTCGCCTCAAGATCAGTCAGTTCTAGGATGCCCCAGTGGCTGCACCTGACCTCTTCCCCCCACCTCCTGTCTGGTGGCTATTCACCTCCTTTCTTTTTCTCTTCACTTTCTGCTTCTTTCCCTCTCCAGCCTAGCCCTTTTGCCAGTCTCACCCCCGGAGTGGAAAGAGCAGGGTCACTCAACCCTATTGGGCCTCAGTTTCCCTATCTGTATGCACATGACATCTTTTAGGTCACTGAGTATTGGTGAGCCTTAAAGAGAGACCACTTGCGCCAGCGCGGACCCATACACAAAGGGCGATCAATAAGCGCCCGTTTTATCCGTGCCCCCTCCCTTTCCCGCACCCCACTCCTAGTCAGTTCCAGCCTCAGCTTGTGCCCAGCACACGCCCGCAGTTGGCCTCGGCGCTGCCCGGATGGGGTCGGAGGCCGCCTTAGATCGGCATCCGGGGCTCTCTCACCTGCAGCTCTCAGCTCCCGCCGGACGCCAGGGCAGGGGCCCCTGTGTTCTCTTCGGGGCGAGCACCAAGCCTGGGATGGCAGGAAGGTGGCTGCTTCGGCTCGCAGCACCACCCCAGTCCGGTTCAGTCCGATTGTCCAGTCCGCCTGGGACCCCTCAGGGGGGCGCTGGACCCGGGCCGGGGTTTCCTGGGCGCTCGCGGGTCCCCAGTCCGAAGCACCGGGCTGGCAGCAGCTGAAGGTCCAGGTCTCGGGGAAACAGAAGCTGGGGGCGTCCGGGCACTCAGTCGGAGTCCTGGGGGCAACCTGCGTTAACCCCAGGCGGAGGGCTGGGGGCTCCGACAGACACTGTAAAAGGCTGGGAACCACCCCGCAACCATGGATCCGTGTGGTGGGCCAGTAGCGTCCCGCCCAGGTGCACTGAGTCAGGGTCAGGGGCTCGGGGAGTCCCAGCCACGATGCCCCGGACCGTAGGGCTGGAAGTGTCCCGGCGCGGAAACCGGGGCCGGGGCAGGCAGGGCTGGTCAGGACGCCAGAGAGGAGCCGCAGGGGCTGGAGCCGGGTGGGGAAGTCTTTCGAGGTCCGGACTCAGCTCGCTCTGCAAAATGGGGCGGACCACGGCCGGTGGCTGACTCCGGCGCTCCCGGCCAGGGCTCCACTTCCTCCTCTTCCCTTGGCTCGCACGCCGCTTGCTCAGCCTCGCGCCGCAGCCGCCGCCACCCCCGCGGCTGTCATCCCCGTCGCCCACCCCCACAGGACCTGCCAAGCCAAGCCCAGTGGAGCCTAGGCAGCGCCGCCCAGCGCCCATGAGCCAGCTAGCGTGGTCCCTCCCGAACGGGGCGGAGCCAACCCGAGGCCACACCCTTCACCGGGACCACGGGCAGGGGCGGGGCGCTCTCTAGTTGCCCTCCCCCGGCCCGTGCCGTCAGGCAGCACGAGCCAATGGGAGAGGGGGAAGAGAGCAGCGCTCTGCGGAACTGGGACTCTACCTTGGAGAGGGCGGGGCTGACAGTGGAGAGGTGAGCTGGAAAGAGGACAATGGGGGGGGGGGCGTGGAGCAGTTTTAAAGAGGGAGAGAAGGTAACCTGGGACCCGGGATGGAGGGAGAGGTGAAGAGGACTGATATGTCTGGGACCAGGGCGTGGGCACTGCCTTGTGTGGGAGAGAGTCGTAGGTAGGAACAGGGGTCGGGGTAGGGAAGGATGGAGGTGGGTTTTCCGGGATAGTGGGATCCCCAGGCATAAGGAGCCCTCGAGAATGGAGGGACACGGCCTTTAGACCTCGGCGCGAGGAGGCGAGCGTTGGGTGCTGTGAAATGCCCAGATTTTAGGAAACGATGAAAAATAAGTTTTTGAAAATAAAGAGCAGATCTTTCTTAAGCATTTCGCCCTTCTCAGTCCCCCTGCGTGGAAAGGAACATCATTACCAGTTTTTAAAATCTGAAGTCAAGAGCAGAGGATTGTGAGTGGTCTTTCTGTCCTCTGCTCCTGTCCCTCTGGAGGGCTTTGGGGTAGGAGCTGTGTCTGATTTATATCTACTGAGTTCCCAGTACCCTGCTCATTCAGGGTGAGGCACAGAGCTGGCATTGCAGGGTTTTGGTGTGAGAAGGAGCGAATGTGGAATGGCCTGAGGAGCAAAAGAAAAGAGGCCGCACAGTACAGCTTTACTTAAGCCTCATGTCAACCTTTTGCTGTAGGTACCTTATTTCACTGGTGAGGACACCAAAGCACCGAGAGACCATCAGATGTTCTCAAGACCATATAGCTGGCACAGGATTCTATCTACTCATCACTATGGCATTTTAGGGCAAAGCTGTGAGACTTTGAACAGGTTACTGGACCTCTCTGAGCCCCTGGTTTCTCATCTATTAAAAAGGTAATAAAGATGCTGCTACTTGGCAAGGACTAAGCAGGCAGAAGGCCTCAGAAGATGGAAGAAAGTCTGTTCCTGGCAGAGAAAACTATGTTCAAAGGTATTTGGAGTCTGAAAAAAAAAACACCTCTGGAGACCCCTGGTCTGTTCTGCGGGGGATTGGGAGAGGATTCCCTGAGAAGTGACAGGCAGGCCCAGGCCAGAAGTAGGGGTTAGTTAGGTGAGGAACCCCAGGGAGTGAACAGTGCTCTAGGCAAAGAGGCCAGTCTAGGCAAAACCCTGGAGGTGAGGGGGAGTGTAGCTTTGCTGGAGAAACAGACAAGTTCAGGGGGCTGGAGCTCTCAGGGTGGGGACACCTGAACCAAGAGAAGAGAAGAGTAGAGAAGGCAAGGGGGGGGGCGGAGAGTGTGAAGAGGCAGGTATGGCCAGACAGAAGGGGGTTCAGACTTTATTCTGGGGGCCAAGAACTCTGCTGGGGTCTTGCTTGTGACCCTGATCTCAGCAGGTTATGCTGAGGCCTCAGTTTTGAAGACCTTGAGTCTGTACTCACTAGTTATCAGAGGGGTATCCTGGGAAGTTTTTAAGCCAGGGACTGATGTGGGGAAGAGGTTTGTAGGCAAACCAGGTAGCATGAAAACAGTTAAAACCCACAAAAGGCAAATGGTGTGCGGCCTGTATGGGTAAGGGTTGGAATCCTCGGTGAGGCCTGGGCCCAGAGGCTCTGTCCCTTCCCCTGTTTGGAGGGTACCAGCCTTTGAGGATGATTGAAAGACAAGAAAGAGGCCGAGTGGGAGGCTGAAGTCCAGGCTAGGGGGTGTCTTCTAGCCAAACCCAGTTGGGGGTGGGCAGGGTGGCCCCAGGAAGCTCGCACTGCTGGCCTGGGCCTAGGCCTGAGGGTTGTAGGGCGCTGTTTGCCTTATGTGTTAAGCTTGGTACTGGAGCTAAGAAACCTTGTGACTTCTCCCTGTGTTTAGAAAGAATCTTCTGTGGTTTCTGGTTGTCAGCATGGCCAAGTCCCTAGCCTGGTGTTCTAGACCCTCCATTATTGCTCTCTGCCAACGCACCAGCCTCGTCTTCCAGTCGCTTCTCCCCTCATATCAGACAGCTACCTCCACAAGCAGGATGCCATCTCTCCCCTCCACGCAGTTGCTCCTGCTGTTCCCCTTCCCTGGGGGACCGTGTTCCTCTCCTGAGTCAATTCCTACTTCCCTGCTGGACTGAAGTGAAGAAACTCTGGGGCAAATGCCCATCTGTCCTTTTCACTGCTGTACCCTCAGAGCTGGGCACTTAGTAGGTGCTCAATAAATTGTTGAATGAATGCCCCATCTCTCAAATCAAGTCTTCTCCACTAAGAAGTCTGTCTCCTCCAGCAAATCAACCTTTGGTGTGGAATCTGTCAGATCGAAGTCTCTGTAATTAGGACTTTCAGGTCTGGTTGGCCCCATACTTCTGTGGCAGTGAGCCCCCGCGCACCCCCACCCAGCTGAGTGCTGGCTGGCCCTTAGAAGACCTCGGTATCTGGAAATGAATGAGGCTCTCAGAGAGCGGTTCTCTGCTGCCCCTGCTGTGAGAGCCTCCTGAGCAGGTCAGAGGAGCTGAAGGCCAGAGTAAAAAGGCAGCTTTCAGAACAGACCCTCCATGACCCCTGAGGTCCAGGAGAAGAGTGCCCAAGGTCGCCAGGAAGTGACCAGCCAACAGCTCTCAGACGCCCACATCACCCTCTGGCTACCCTCCCATGGGGAGAAAGTCTCCAGACCTAGGAGAATCAGGCATTTTTGCAGCCAGAGAGGCTCACAAAGCATGACAGAGGCATGGTCATGGGGGCTTGTCTAGGAGGGTGATTGAGGGCTCCGAGATGGCTGTGAACCGGGGCCTCTGGGGCTGACAGAAAAGGCTACCCTTGTCAGCCTGGTGCCCCCCCCCACAAGAACCTTCTACCCTCTCTGTGTTCTGGCCAGAGGAGAATGAACAGTGAAGCTACTGCAGCTTCAGCTCTGCTGCACGGCTTCCTATTCTCACAGCAAATGAACATCCACTTTGTGCCCACATTTGTAGTAGAAGTCTGGCACTCTCCTGAATAGAGCCACTAAATTGTGTAAAACTTCACACCCCCTGAGACCAGCTTCCAACAGTCCCTGATGTGCCCCCACCAGGTACAGGCACCGTGTGTGGTGGGGGCACATGGCGTCCGGGGGTACCAGGGGCAGCAGGCAGACACGGCCCACGTCTGGTAGGGTCTGTAGGCTCCGCTGAACTCTTGGCCCTCACAGTGCAGCCTGCTTTCTGACCTGTCACCCATCCCCTGCCGGCCTGGAATCCCTTCCCTCTCTCCTGTCTACATGTGCCCTATTCAGCATGGGCATTCTCTCCATCCTTCAAGGCCCGGGACACAGCTTGACCCTCTGGGGAGCCCATCCCACCAGCTCCCCTGTGGGAAGCACGGTGTTGTGCAGTGGAGCCAGTGACACTGCGGGCTCTTTGTGCCTCTGTTGGGACGTCGATCCCCTTGGGTCTTGGGCTGTTTCTGAGTCAGTTTTCCCATCAGAGTATGAGATTCTAGAGGGCAAGTGATGGAGTCTCACTTCTCTCTAGGCCCCAAGCTCCCCCGACATTTACCAATAATTTCCGAGCTGGATGGCAGTCCGAACAAACGTTGGGCACCCAGGGATGGGACAACCAAGGGCCCCCAATCCGAGGGCTCTCGAAGTGGTGTGTGCAGAGTACCCTGTGAACACAGGACACTGCCGGGGGAGGACAGGGCGGGAAGGCGACACTGGAGTTGGCGCCAGACACACATCCTGGCCCAGTCACCTCCCTTCTCTATGCTTCGGCTTCCTCATAACTAGAATGGAGACGATGCCCTGGCCAGTGCGGCTCAGGTGGTTGGAGTGTCATCCCATTACCAAAAGATCATGGGTTTGATTCCCAGTCACAGCACATGCCTGGGTTGCAGATTCAAACCCCAGTCAGAGCATGTGCAGGAGGCAACTGATTGATGTCACTCTCTCACGTCAGTGTTTCTCTCCCTCCCATCCCCTCTCTCTTGAATGAGGATAAAATAAACCTTAAAAAGTAAATAAAGCGGAGATGAAAGTAGTGGCCCCCCCGAAGGTGGGGCATTAAACAAGGCTAGTGTTTAGTCGCCCAGGCCAGAGGTAGCGCCGTGTGTGTGTGTGTGTGTGTGTGTGTGTGTGTACCAAAGTCGTTTCCATAGTGCCAAGGCAGAAAGGTCAGGGGAGTCTGTGGCTGGAGAGATGGGTGAGGGTGGCATGTCACACAGGTCTCTGTCCCTGAGTTTGGCTCCTGTGCTGAGGGCAGAGGGGGCCTTGGGAGGGTTTGTGCAGTGGTTACGAGGTCAGGCTTGCTCCTCAGCTCCCCTGGTCGCTGGAGAAGAGACTTAGGCAGGGAATCTACCTGAGGCCTGTTTCAAGAGTGACAAGGAGAGATGACTGTCTGAACCTGGAACATTTAGGGAAAAAAAGGCAAGCTGCTGATTGTGACTGTGTGGGGTAATGGAGATAGAGAATTTGAGGCATTTGGGGCTCAAGAGAGGGGCCACGGCGGGAGGCCACAGCCAGGAACAGCCTTTGGGGTGACAGGTGTGGGGCCTCAGGGAGGGAGTGGACTTGCAAGGAAGAAGCAAGGAAATCCACAGGGAGAGGTGTGGGCAGTGGATGGAGCCCAGGAGAGAGCCAGAGAAGGGCTGGTCAGAAAAGGGGTGAGGAGAGGAAGCTGTAAGGAGAGGATTGTGAGGGCCCAGAGCCCCAGGGCTGAAGTGTCCCAGGGTCCACAGCTATCGCTGAGGGTGGCGGGGAGACGTGGAGGCAGGAGCAGGGCGCACCTGGAGCCGGCGTGGTCTGCCCTTCCCAGGGTAGCTGGCAAAGGGCTCGTGCTTGAGTGACAGCTGGGGGAGGAGGCAGAGCCGGAGGCTTGTAGAGGACTGGAAGCCACCTGGGGAAGAGCGGAGGTAACGGTTCAGTGTAGAGGAGAGGGCCGGGCACAGACCTGAGGCCTAGGAGAGGTAGCACTTCTACTTTAAGGGGCTGGGGATGAAGCAGGGGAGGAAGCCCAGGCCTGGAGGCCTCGGTGAAGCCGGAGGCAAGACTCTGCTCTCCCGGGGAGGACCAGGTGGATCAGGGGCAGTGAGGAGAGGCATGAGGTGGGAGCCATGGCTGTGGAAAGTGGAAAAGGAGGAACAAGCCCTTCTAAGGTAGGAGCCATAAATATGAGGTGGCCCCTGTCCTGTGCTGGAGGGATTGGGGTGGCTTCAGGAAATGCTTGTGTCAACTTAACAAAAAAATGATACCTGGCCCCCCTTCTCATTCTCCTGGATCCCTGCAGGCTCTGCTCCTGAAAGAATGGGGAGCTTCAGGGTTCTCTGGCCCCACATCCTTCCGGCTCCGTTGCCTCCAGCGGGAACAACAGTGATCATGGTAACTCCAAGCTTACTTTTTATCTGCACCTTCCCATGCTCACAAGAGGGGACGCCCGGTTTAGCCCCACCTCAGTCAACGGCCAGGGTCTGCCACCTGGTGGACTGAACTTCACAGATTTATTTCAGCGTCTCCAGCAATGGGGGAGGGACACACCCAATGTGGGCGATCGTACTTCTACAGAAATGCCAAGGGAACGTCTTCATTTGGCTGCCTCTGCTTCCCCCTGCTGGCTAATACTGGTTGGTGCAGGATTATAGTAACACTGGAGCAGTGGTTTTCAAACTTTTTGTTATCAGAACCCTTTTCAGACCCCAATATTATTGAAGACCCCGGAGAACCTCTGTTTATATGGCTTATATTGGTATTTACAATATTAGAAATTCAAGTGGAGACATGTTTTTAAAATTAAGTAATTAATTCAGCAATATAAATCTTATTATAAGTTAACATGTTTTTATGGGGAATACATTTTCCAAAACAAAAAATTGTTGAAAAGAGTAGCATTGTTTTATATGTTTACAGATTCTTTAATGCTTGGCCTAATAGAAGACAGCTGGATTCTCATATCTGCTTCTGCATCGAATCACATTGTTTTGGTTGAAGTTTACAAAGAAAACACAGACACTAAAATGTAGTTAGAAAAGGGAAGGGTACTTTAATGGTCTTTTTGAATAACTGTGGCTATTCTTGTCTGATACTAGCCCGACTTGGCGAAATTCTGAAAGATTGGTTGTTATTAGAATCTGAAACCATATCAATAAAATTTTCTTTCTCGGTTACACTAAAATCCACTGGTCCCTTTTGCACTTTGAATGTGTTTTGGAGCCACGCGTGATTTTGTAACAGCATGCATTGGACACTTGGGGAAAATATGGCTCAGCAAGTTATGCAGATCTTTCAAATGCTGACAAATTTCAGTATGTAACATTAAAAAGTCCAATTCATTAATGTCACCACTGATCTCATTGGAAACATTAAATTCAGATAATACTTTGGTTTTTTGCCCTTCACTTTACTGCCCTTTGCAGATCTTGTGGGGTTGTTTATGGATTGAAGATAAGACCCTCTACCAGCAAAAGATTATGACTTGTTGAAAGCTTGATTATGGTCAGTATTTTTTTTTAGCAATAAAGTGTTTTTAAATTAAGTGTACGTTGTGTACGTTGTTGTTTTAGATGTAATGCTACGACCTACTTCACAGACTACTGCACGGCGCAGGAAACCGGCAAGCGAGGCGACTTTCCTGGATACTCTGGAGCCACACCCACTGGGTCCCTGAGCCCCGCCTGCCCTGGGAAGCCGTCAGGCTCACAGTGGTTAACAAAGTTTCCAAAAAATTTAATTTTCACGAAAAGCTTGAATTTATTTTACCTTTATTGTATTTTTCCATTACCACTTAGTCCCCTCGGACCCCCCCCTTCCCCCAGCAACCACCACACTGTTGTCCATGTCCATGAGTGAAAATATTGAATTTTATCATTAGCAACAATTCTGTCAGTTTACCTTGCAACGACAGACTTATTTTATTTATTTTTGAGAAAATGTCTGTCAAATACGCAGTCTGTGTAGTCCCAATTTATCTGTCAATATTTCTTTCAAGTAAGATGGTGCTCCATGAAAAAAGTGGCCAGTTCAGCTCACGGTTCAACCAATTGCAGAAACGCTTTCCCTGGAGAAGCCATCGTGCTCTCAGCGGCAGAAGTGCCTGATGACAATTCCTGATTTGTCACACGGAACATTTAAAAGGTGTGCCATTGGGAGTCAATGTACAGTGCATTAACTAAATGTTACTGCTTCCCCAGTGGCTGTCTTGAGTGGCACCCACTGTGTTTCGCTGTGAGGGCAGGCAGCGGAGACTCTGAAGGCTCTGGCTCCGTTGGGGCCACCGCTGTGTTTCCTGCTGAGGTGCCTGTGGGTTCACCGCCGAGGCCTTTGCATCGTCTGTGTGTGAAACGTTGCCCCAGCGAAGAGGGCCCATGATGCTTTTTTTTTTTTTAATTTAATTTATTTATCTTTAGAGGGGAAGGAAAGGAGAGAGAGAGAGAGAGAAATATCAATGTATGGTTGCTTCTAGTGCATCCCCTGCTGGGAACTGGCCTGCAACCCAGGCATGTGCCCTGACTGGGAATCGAACCTGCAACTGTTTGGTGCATGGGACAATGCTCCAACCAACTGAGCCAGGGTGCGTCTTACTCTTTGGGAAAAAAAAATACATGGTGGTAACAAATAACAAGTGCTGGCGAGGCTGTGGAGAAAGTGGAATCATCTGCACTGCAGGTGGGGGCAGTGGGGGCGACTCCTCAAAAAACTAAAATAGAACCACCCGAGGACCCAGCAAGTCCACTTCTGGCTATTTATCCGAAGAAAATAGAAACCTGAATTCAAAAAGATGTATACGCCCCTGTGTATATGGCGACATTACTAGTAATAGGCAAGATATGAAGGCAATCTAAGTGTCCATGAACAGACGAATGAATAAAGAGAATGCGGTACATACATGTGATGAAATATTATTCAGCAATAAAAAGGAATGAAGTCTTGCAATCTTCGACAATATGGGTGGGTATTACACTAATGAAATCAGCCAGAGAGAGAAAGACGAATGCTGTATAATCTCACTTATGTGTGGAATATAACAAATGAATGAGTAAACAAAACAAAACCAGACACATAGAGGACAAACGGATGGCAAAGTTGGGAGGGAGAGGGCGGAGGTGGGAATAAAAGCACAGACACAAAGCGTTGGGTAGTTAGAAGGTTCCTGCTCTTAGAGGGGACAGTGGGACAATGAAACACGTCCAAGTGGTCACAAAGGTATTCGTCAGTTCACAGTCAAGCGTAGAATGCAAACTAAACTGAAAAAAATGGGAAGTACTCACTAAAAACCACCTACAAAAAACAAGTAAAAATAAAACTAAAAAAAAACATTGTGGTAAAAGGCCAAACTTGACATAAAATTTACATTCGCACCATTTTTAAGTGCCCAGTTAAGTGGCATTGAGTACATACACTAGCCATCACCACCATCCATCCGACCCTAGAACATTTTTCATTTCGTAAACCTGAAACTCGATTTCCATTAAACACTAACTCCGTATTTCCTTATCCGAGGGTGCACGTAGGTCTTACCCACTGTACCCCTCACCCTGACATTGGCCAGAGGGCGGATTTCTCAGCAGAACACAGGAGGTGATGAGAGGAGCGCCCGGTTCCATTCTCTGTAATGACAGGTGGCTGTTATAGTGAAAGAAAGCAGTGGCAGGGGGACACCCAGAGAGAAGTGTTGAATAGGAGGGTGACGTGGGCAGACAGTGCAGGGACTTCACTGTGTGGATGGTGGAATAGAAGGGGTGAGAACAGAGGTGAGAAGACAGGTACCAAATTCTGGGAGAAGGGACAGAGGTCTGGGCCCTGCGGGAAGGGGCCGTGGGGATGTGGAAGGCGGGGTCGCTAGGAAAATGCAGCGGCAGAGCTCAGCTGCGGGGAGTGTGAACCGCCTGCCTCCACACTCTGGGTGCTGGGTGCTCCAGCTGAGGCTTTGCAAGGGCCCTTCCTGGGACTGACTACCTGTGGCGAATGAAAATGCAGGGCTTCCTGTCCAAAAATTATTAAGTGGTGGCACCAGAGCATTAGATCAAGAGCAGAATCCTTAGCTTAGGGCCACTGGATTTAGAAGGAAAAAAAAAAAAAAGAGGACTCCCAGCTAAAGTTGAATTTCAGATAAACATAATGTTTTAGTATAAATGTCTTTGCAATAAAAAAATATTTTGTGTGGATGAAAAGGGGCCACATAGTAACCCTGACAAGCTCAGGGGAGGCCAGCGTGGTGGCCTTACAAACTCAGAGACCTAAAGAAACCACATAGGGTGGTCTGAAGTTAAAATTTCTTATCGAAAGGCAAGTCATGGCAGGTAGTCCTGTCGTAGGCTGGTGTCTTCCTTGACAAAGATCAGCCTTTCCCTTAACTGAGCCCGTCTCTCCTTGTGTCTATGATAACATACCCTTGGAATGTCAGAGCAACCCCCCTTCCCCAGGCCTTTCAGGGCACATCCTCCCACCAGGAGAAGGGCCCACGGAACCCCTCATCGTCTTGCCCCCGCACACCACCTCTATGGGCCGCGAATGTTAGCTGTTCTGTACCCACCAACGTGAAAGCTTGTATCTCTGTTTTCCTCTGTATCCGACCTTGGAGGCTTCCCCGCTCTGTTTTCTCCCGCCTCCCTAATCTGCCTAATCTGTCACCGGTGGGTTGCGTGTAGCCCTTTACGTCTCCCCTCTGATTCTCATGTGTAAGTGGTAAACCGCCATTTCTTCAGTCCGCTGAGGTTTTTCTCCCTGGCAACTGTTGTCAGTTTGGCTCTAATAACCTCATAAAAATTCTTTCCACTTTCGCATGTTCTTAGGTCGACAGTTGTTTGTCTGAAATTCGACTTTAACCAGGATCCTGGATTTTAGCTGGCAGTCTTCCCCAGGGGTCCTGCGGTCTCTCCCATTACCTGGGGCTCCTGGGAGAAGGGTCCCCAAACTTTAGTCCGCATCAGAATCACATGGAGCACTTGTTAGAACAGATATTGGGCCACCCCTTCTGTTTCTAATTCACAGGTCTGGGGTGGAGCCCAAGAATTTTTATTTCTAACAAGTTCCAAGGTGACAATTGATGCTGTTGGTCCTGGGGACACATTGTGAGAACCACTGATCTAGAGCCCATTACCCCAGTGAAGCCCATAATAGGGACATGGAAAAGCGCAGTGACCTAAAGCTACCACCAGAGGGCAGAAGCGCCCACTAGTCAGGCTTCAGGCTGCGCCCACAATCCCGAGGCTTAGCTTACACACCTTTGCGGAGTGTTTGCTCTGTGCGTCAACACGTCCAGGCTCCTTAGCTACAACAAAAACGTGGGTCAGACTCAGCGTCTGCCCTTGAGGAGTTCAGGGTCTGGAGAGCGAAACAAAGGTGTTAACTGGCAATTACAATCGGTACTGAAGTGGTGGGAAGCACAGAGTAGAGTGAGGTGGGGTGAGGTGGGGAGGCTGTGGAGCCCAGAGGAGGCCGGGGGTGGTAGGCAGGCAGGCTTCCCGGAGGAGCTTGTCGCCTGAACCTTGAGTAGGAATCACCCAAGTGGGGAGAAGAAGAAGAAGGGCATTTTGGGCATAGGCACGTAGGCTGGGAAGCACTGGCTGTGTTCAAGGAGCAGTGTAGAGGCAGGGACAAGAATTGGTGGGTGAATACCTGGCAAGGCTGGTAGAGGCTTGGCTGGATCCTGAGGATCTCAGCGAGCCCAGGAGGGTTTTCACTAACTGGTGTGTTAGAATGAGCCCCTGGTAACTGTGAGAAGGAGGAGAGGCCAGAGGCAGGGAGGGTAGTGAGGAGGCTGATGCAATGGTCCAGGAAGACGTGATTAGAGGAAGTGAGAATGACAACAGTGTCCCATCCATCCATCCAACCTTCCATTCGCTGCACACTTTTTTGAACACATTCTCTGAGCTAATAAGCCCTGGGCTGGGTGCTGGGACTTGGTGGTAATCAGAACAGTTCCTGGCCTTCCCCGAGAGCTTACTTTCTCATGGCAGAGGCCACCAGCCAGTGACACAGTGGGCCAGCCAGGGACAGCAGAGGGACCAGTACAAGGGATGCTAAGGAAGACAAATGGCAGGGTCCAAGCAGTGGTGGAGGTGGGGGGCACTCCCAGGAGAGCCCCTGACCCGGGCACCCTGACCTGGTGAGAACAGAAGCCCCGTTCAGCCAGACCCTGGCATCCTCCCACCACAGCCCAGCGCTAACAGTACGGCCATTGAAGGCTGCTGCCACTGCTCAAGGTCCAACCTTTCCTGCCCCCTTCCTCCCTCGGCCACACAATCCTGGCCTTCAGTGAGGAAGAAAGAGCAGGATTATACGCAGGTACCAGGAGCTGGGCCCACCCTTCCACCAGACTCGGTCTGCCCCCAGCTCAGGTGAACACTCAGGAAGGCACCTCCTTCAGACGTCCAGGACTCTCATTCGAAGCATGTGAAGGGTCGGCCGGCTAGAGGCAGAGGGCTGGAGGAGGCGACCTTAAGTGCCAAGGGGATGCTCTAAGAAAGGTGTTCTGGATGCTCAGGCTCCGTGGAGTACCACACTGGTCTTCAGAGGTGGGACGGATCCCATGGATGAAGGTGATTAAACTCAAACTGACTGTAGCATGACTTTCTAGAAGAGTGGCCTTCTTGCTGTTTTCCAAAAACATGCTCAGTTCACTCTAGCCTTGGGGCCTTTACACACGAAGCTCCGCCTGCTTGGGGTGCTCACTCCATTCCAAGGCCTCTGCAGGGTCGGCTTCTGTGGTAGGAAGGATAATGGCCCCCAAAGATGTCCACGTGCTGATCCCTGGGCATGTTAACTTATATGGCAAAGGGGATTTTGCAGATGTGATTAAACCACGGGTGTTGAGGTAGGGAGATGCCCTGGCGGCCCAATGTAATCTCCGTGGTCCTTATTAGAGGGAGGTGAGGAGGGGGTTCAGAGGAAGAGATGTGATGACAGAAGCAGAAGTCAGAGAGATGGGGGGCAGGAAGATGCTACACTCTGGCTTTGAAGACAGGAAGCAGCCACAGATGGTGGGGTGCAGGTGCCTCTGGGAGCTGGCAACGGCACGAAACAGATTTGCCCCTGAGCTTCCAGAAGGAATGAGGTCCTGCCGACCTCTTTTCATCTTCTGACATCCAGAACTAGGAGAGAATACACTTATATTGTTTTAAGCCACTAAGTTTATGGTAATTTGTTGCAGCAGCAATGGGAAACGCAGCCCCTTAGCACCGAGGTCCCAGGCTACCCTGCGTGCAGAGGCAGTTGTTCCCACCACCTCCAACCACCTCTGTTTGTCTCCTCACGGCCCTCACCACGGTCTGAAATTACCATATTTATTTCCTAGTGTATGACCTGTCTCCTCTGCCCTCTACACACAGCTCCTTGAGAGCAAAGGCCTTATTTTGTTCACTCTTGTATCTCTGCTCCCAGAACAGTGCCTGGTACATAAAGGGTTCTCAGTAAATATTTGTCACATAAAATCAAGACTGAAGGAATAAATGAGAGACTGAATATGATCTGTCTCACGTGCACACTGAGGGCGCAGGAAGGGAGATGCTTTGGCTGGCTGATGGGGGCGGGGGTGCTCCCAGGCAGAAGGGGTCTCAGGAGCTTTGAGAACGGAGAGGCTC